GGGGGCTCGGGGCGGCGCCGGGGCCAGGAACGTCGGGGGCTCTCTGGTCGCGAGGAGGGGCTGCCAGAACCTCGGACCCCGCCACCCCTCGGACCTTGCAGAGCTGCGCCCCTCCCTCAGTGGGAGGAACGCATCTCCCGGTCGCTGGGACAGAGAACTGAGGCTCCGTAAGTCCCCGGCCCCCAGGCGGGTCGGAGCGAGGAGGCAGTCCCAACAGGCCGCACCCCCAGCCGGCTTGGACCAAGGCGGGCGATGATTGGTCAGAACGAGCCGAAGACCCGCCCGTTTCCCGGCCCCGTTCTCTCGGGCCCCCAATGCCTGGAGGAGGGCGCCACCTGCCGTCTCAGGGCTGCATTCTCCGATCCACACGTAGATAGCCAGGCACGCCCCCTCCCCTGCTCCTAGACTGAAGCTTCTCCAAGAGTGGCTCTGCTCGGCACTCTGAGTAAACTGAGGTCCAGAGAGTCAAGTTAGAGCTTGGCCTACATGAAAATCCATGAGGAGAGAAAAGAGACCCCCCTCAGTACCCTCACGACTGGGTTTGTAGTCCATCCCTTACTTAGGCCATCCAAAGATCTCAGCCAGAGGCAATAAAAGGAGACGGGCTTAAGAAAAACAGAAAAAGATGGGGCCGGCAAGTGGCGTAGTGGTTAACTCCCACATGGACGACTATGGCTTGAATCCTGGACCTGGCGGCCTCTTTCTCACTTTCCCTCTCTCAATCTGTCCTTATCTAGTCAAGTTTAAATAAATAAACAAAGTTAAATAAAATAACTATTTAAAAAGAAAGAAAGAAAGAAAGAAAGAAAGAAAGAAAGAAAGAAAGAAAAAGAAAGAAAGAAGGGCCAACAGATGGTTTAATGGTTGCATCGCTGGACTCCCACATAGTTGACCACAATTTGAGTCCCAGACCTGGCCACTTCGAACTCATGCTGAACATTTGTGCATACATGCTGAAAATCGCGAGAGGAGAATGGAGAAGAGATTGTGACGTGGCCATCCCCTCTCGGGGGTGATTTCTTACTTTCTGTTTCTCTGGAGGGTCCAGGTGCCTTATAGTAAAATATCTTTTTTTATATATATATTTATTTATTTAATTTATTATTATTATTATTTTTCACATGAGTTTTGCCAGAGAAAGAGAGAGAGAAGGAGAGTGAGAAAACAAGCCACAGGTCCAGAACTTGAACCACAGTCGAGCATGTGGGAATTCCAGCGCCTTAACCACCACACCACCTGCTGGCCCCCTAAATTTTTAAAAATATAATTATTTATTTAATTTATGTATTTTTTTGTAGTAAAATATCTTTATCAAAAAAAAAAAGGAAGAAAGAAAAGAAAAGAAAGGTGATAGTAGAAGAGTCGTCTCAGGAGGAGAACCCCAACCTGACCCAACCCTTGTGGTAGGTTCTGGAAAAGAGATGGCACCAAAGGTCTGTGCTCACAGATAAGCTGCTATATGACAAGTGAGGTTGGAGCCCGGAAATAAGGCTGGAGTGCCCTCCTGCTATTCACACATGTGCATGTCTACACATAGTGGCCATGGGCACAGCCAGACCTGGGTGTCCCCTGGTTGACCTGAATTACCACATTACAGAAAAGAGGACTTCTGGGTCTTTAGCCAAATCTTCCTGAGTGGTCTGAATGCTGAGATCTGAATGCCTTCAGGGTCATGGTCTCTGGACCAGAGAGATACATACCCTGCTGTACTCCGCCTCTCCCATCTTACCTGTGTCCTAGCTGACTCAGCCTGGTTCCTGTGAGACTCATTTGGCAAGTCAGTGTAAGAGGAAAAGACAGAGCAGGAAGCATCTGGTGATAAAAGGGCGAGTAGCTGGTACCAAATTAGACGTCTTCCACTTGGGAAAAGCTCTTCTGTGTGGACAGTATGTGCCCCACATGTTCCCTTACTGGCTGGCCATGGTCTTCCATTAAGCAGAGCTTTGAAGTGGGGTGGACATATTGGCCTTGGTGGTCCAGGCCCTGTCCCCACCCCTCCCTAAACTGATGAAGGCTAGATAAGGCAGACTGGTAGATCCTGGAAGGTCAAGGAGCTGCCAGCCAGGCAGGCCCCAAGGATTCCCACTGGAGCCTCACCCTGTGGCCTTTGGGACCTGACCAGAACTGTCCCTCCTGATGCTGTCTACTGACCCCTCAGCCTGGCTGGCGTGGGCTCCAGCAGTTCTGTCTCTTTTTCTTTGGAAGTTAATTTCCCAGGGCCAGCAGATGGCGTGATGGTTAAGGTGCTAGATTTCACATGGCTGATGCCGCAGTTCAAGTCCTGGACACAGTGGCTTAAAAAACATGCTGGGGGCTAGCAAGTGGCATAGTGGCTATGAGGCTGGACTCCTGGGCCAGTGGCTTGAAAATCACATCAGGTGTGTGTGTGTGTGTGTGTGTGTGTGTGGGCCCAAAATGCCAAGAGAAGAATGGTGTGCCCAAAATGCCAAGAGAAGAATGGAAGAGAAGGGGTGCATTTGTAGCCATTCCCCCAGGAGGCGATTTCTCACTTTCCCTCTTACTGTCAATCTCTGGCAAGCTCATGCACCCTATAGCAAAAACCTTTTTATTTTTCTTGAAGAGGTTTTTGCTATAGGGTACGTGTGCTCGCCAGAGACAGAAAGAGACAGAGAGACAGAAAGCGAGAAATCACTCCCCAGGGGGGATGGCCACTCCACAATCCCTTCTCTTCCATTTTCCTCTTAGGATCTTGGACACGCACGCACACACCCAGCGTGCGGGTCCGAGACTCAAACCGTGGTCCACTACTTGGGAATCCAAAGACATAGCCATTATGCTAACTGCTGGTCTCAGGCAAAAACCTTTTAAAAACAAACCAACAAAAAGAGCCAGCAAGAAGCATAGTGGTTAAGGCACTAGACTCCCATATGGCCAACCACAGTTTGCGTCCTGGACCCAATGGCTTGAAACTCATGCTAAGCACATATGTGTGCATGTCCAAAATCCCGAGAGAAGAATGGAGAAGTGACTGTGGTATAGCCATTCTCCCTGGGGAGGGGGGGGTGATTTCTTGACTTTTCTTTCTGTATGTCTCTGGTGAACACACACGCCCTAAATTTTATTTAGAGAGCAAAAATTTCTCTCTAAACAAACAAACAAACCAAACATGATGAGCATGTTTATGTGTGTAGTTATTTTGACTCTATTAGGCACTAAGGGTGAAGCCTTTTATTTGGTAATGCAGGACTAGTCAACACAGATGGGTTCTTTCCCCCAGCTCCCTCCCCAACCTTATTAGCAGGGGTACAGAATGAGGGAGGCAATGAGGGGAGTGCTGGAGGCCAAGGATGCAAAGATGACAATTTCTCTTTGCCTCAACATTTATTACTGGCGATTGATCCTGGTCAGGCACTGGGTGCTGGCACTCCCAAACCCTTCCTTACCCTCCCCGCAGGCGCAAATGCATATACACCGTGCTCTGGGACATCAAGCCATATTCCCCCAGTGGTTTCTGGTCTTCCATGTCTCTCCCCTCATAGGACAGCCAGAACAAGTCAGCCTGCACACCCTCCTGCTGGGACACCAGCTGCTTGAGATGGGCCACCGTCTGCGTCAGCCGGACCTCGTAGGAGCTGCTGCGGCCTTTGTTGTTCCTCACCAGGATGTTCAGGGGGCTGTCGCAACTTTGCACTACCAGCAGGACTATGCTGTCAGAGTCCAGGCCCTGGTGGCCAAGGGGGACTCTGTCCTGCAGCACTGTGCCGCTTGGGTGGATAGCCAGGCGCTGTTGGAAGGCAGGCACACCGATCTTCTTGGTGATCTTCTGCTTCAGTTCCATTGCCAGCATGGAGTCACTGATGGGCACCATGAACTCTTGGCCCCCCAGCATCTTCACCTTCAAGTCCCGGCCCTGCAGACATCACATGAACACGGAGACCTGGACACCAGTCCTGGGGCCACTACCGCAGGTTATTGACTGCAGGACAGCTTCCTCCATCCTGGGGGGCATTGTTTCCTCCTACCTACCCTTTCTTCCCATCAGGAGAGGGACCCCAGGCACAAGGAGGCACAGAAGGGGCCATTTCTTTTCTTTTCTGGAGAGGTTTTTGCTATAGGGCGCGTGTGCTCGCCAAAAAGACAGAGAGAGACAGAAAGCGAGAAATCACCCCCCAGGGGGGATGGCCACACTGCAATCCCTTCTCCTCCATTCTCCTCTCAGGATCTTGGGCACGCATGCACATGCACCCGGTGTGAGTTTAAACCACAGGGTCCAGGACTCGAACCACAGTCAGCTACATGGGAGTTCAGCGACATAGCCATTACACTAACTGCTGTGCCAAGAAGGCGCCGTTTCTAAAAGAAAAGCCAGCCTCTTACAGCCATCCCACTGTCTCCCTCCACCTGCTGCGTGCCCCACCCCACATCAGATTTCAAAAGCCCATCCGACCCCTCACACTTAGGACCCAGGACTAGCTCTGGGAACTCTGTTCTCTCCTTAACAAAGAATCCACTAGGCAGAGGGGGAAAAAAAGGACAGGAATGGAGCCACTCGCCCCTGCTTCCATCCCCCCCCCACACACACCCCTGTCAAATTCGCCTTACCATGGCTGTGGGCTGTGGTGCTAGGTCCTCTGCAGGCACTGACAAGTTCGCTGCTTCTGAGGTCTGGCAGCACCTGCGGCTGGCTCAGTCCTTTTATGAGCCCTAGCAGCACACGTCAGGGGTGGTGTCGTAAGCAAGCCTGCACCAGGGATCGCGTTCTGCTGCAGTTTCAGTTTCCTTTTCCCCAGGCATGACCCAGAGTGAATGGGAGAAACAAAACCAAATGATAAAAGCCGGGCAGTGGGAGCCGGGGAGAGGTCAAGATCTCAGAGGGGCTGTCAGCACCCTCATCTCCCCACTCATCTCCCATTCAGAAATGTGCCTTCAGAAACTCCCTAAATATTCATTACTTCAGGTCGTCACAAAAGCCATAACATGAACAGATGTTATGGCTTTTAAACTTTCGTTTTCGATTTACTAATTTGCAACATTAGTAAACAGAAAATATGGCCATGGTTAATTCAAAAACAATATAAAATAGTGTGACAATCCATACTAGCCAGCGATAACCATCGTTAATTTAGAATATTTATTGTCAATAAACTTTATACATTGTTAATAAAATTTGAATTTTAATGTATTTTCATTAATATTTAAAAATTAATATTTGTTTTTAAAAATAATTATTTAGTTACATTTATTTATTTATCTATCTATTATGAGAGATTTTTGCTCTATGGCAAGTGCGCTTGCTGGAGACAGAGAGAAAGAGAGACACAAAATGAGAAATCACCCCCCGGGGGGGGATGTTCACCTCATGACTTCTTCTCTTCCATTCTTCTCTTAGAATTTTGGGCACACATATACACACTCCTGGCATGAGGTTTTTTTTTGTTTTTTTTTTTTGAGAGGTTTTTGCTATAGGGCACGTGTGCTCGCCAGAAAGACAGAGAGAGAGAGAAGAACAGACAGAAGGCGAGAAACCACCCTCTGGGGGAATGGCCACGCTGCAATCCCTTCTCCTCCATTCTCCTCTTGGGATCTTGGGTGCACAAGCACATGTGCCCAGCGTGAGTTTAAGCCACTGGGTCCAGGACTTGAACCACGGGTTGGCTACATGGGAGTCCGGTGACATAGCCATTACACCAACTGCTGGTCCCATCCTGGCATGAGTTTCAAGCCACCAGGTCCAGCACTCAAACCACAGTCAGCCAAATGGGAATCCAGTGCCTTAACCACTACAACATCTGCTGTCCCCTAGTATTATTATTATTATTCTTTTAGAGGTTTTTGCCATAGGGTGCATGTACTTGCCAGAGAGAGACAGAGACAGAGACAGTGAGAGGAAAGTGAAAAATTGACTCTTGGGGGTGGTCACACTGCAATCCCTTCTTCTCCATAGTCCTGCTGAGATCATGGGCATGCACATGTGCTCAGCATGGTTTTGAAGCCACCAGGTCCAGGACTTGAACCACGGTTGGCCATGTGGGAGTCCAGTGATGTAACCACTATGCTATCTGCTGGTCCCTTATTATTATTTTTAAATTTGCTATAGAGCACATGTGCTCACCAGAAAGCTGGGGAGGGGGGGGGAATAGAAGGGTAAGGTCCTGGATTTGAACTGCAGTTTGTCATGTGGGAGTCCAGTAACCCAACTACCATACTACCTGCTGGCCCCAAATATTTGGTTTTTGTGTTTGTGTTTTATTATTTTTTAGAGGTTTTTGCCATAGAGCACTTGCACATACCAAAGAGAGAGAAAGAGACAGAGACAGCAAGAAGGAAAGTGAGAAATTGCCCGCTAGGAAGGATAGCCATGTGACAATTCCTTCTCCTCCATTCTCTTCCTGGGATTTTGGGCACGCACACACAAGTACCCAGTGCGATTTTCAAGCCATTGGGTCCAGGACTCGAACAACAATTAGCCATGTGGGAGTTCAGCAACATACCCACTACGCCACCTGCTGGCCCAAATATTTAAAAAAATAAAACAAATGTGTCTTGATTTTTTAAAAAATGTACTTATAAATACTATCAAAAGTGTAAAGACAACCCAAAGAATGGGAGGAAATATTTGCAAATCATATATCTGGTAATGGTCTGGAATGCAGAATGTATAAGAACTCTTATAGGCCTCACCCTGGCCTAGTGGCTAAGAGAGCTTAATCCCACATGGCTGACCATGCAGTTCAAATCTCAGCACTCAGAGCTTGAAAAACACACCAGGCATATATGTGTGTGTGCCCCAAATCTCAGTGGGATGGTGAGATGGAGAAGGGCTTGCAGTATGACCATGCACCATTAGGGAGTGCTTTCTTCCTTTCCCAGTCTCTTTCTGTCTGTCTCTGGTGAGTGCATGAGCCCTCTCACAAAATTTTAAAAAGAAAACATCTTACAACTCAATAACAAGAGGGCAACTCAAGGTCAATGGGTGTCATGAAGATTATGGGACTTGGATCCCACATGGCCAACTGTGCAGTTCCAGTCCCAGACCCAGTGGCTTAAAAATTATGCCAGGTGTGTATGTGTGAGTGCCCAAAATCCTGGGAGAAGAATGGAAGAAAAGGGATTGTGGTGTGGCTATCTCTGGGGAAGATTTTCCCACTTTCTCTCTCTCTCTCTCTCTGTCAGTGAGTGCATGTACCCAATAGCACAAAATTAAAATAAAAAATAAAATAAGTCAAAGTGGACCAGATGGGTGGCTTGGTGGTAAGGCAACTGAATCTCACATGGTTTACTGCGTGGTTCAAATCCTGAACTCAAACTAGTGGTATATCCATACAATGGAATATTATTCAGCCATATAAAGGAATGAAGGACTGATGTAATATGAGTAAACCTTGAAAACATTATGCTAAGTGACAGAAACCAGACACATAGGTCACATATTGTATGATCCTATTTATATGAAATATTTGGAACAGACAGATGCATAGAAACAGAAAATAGAATAGTGGTTGCCTGGGGCTGGGGAAGGGAAGATAGGAAATGACTGGTTGATCTGCTGCTTCAGTTCCATTGCCAGCAATACATACGTGGCCTCCTTCAGAGGCATAATATTTTGGAATTATATAGAGGGGATGGTTGGACAACATTGCAAAAGTACCAAATGCCACTGAATTACATACTTGAAAAAGTTAATTTGGGGGAGCAGCAGATGGCATAATGGTTATGACGCTGGATTCCCATGTAGTCAACTGTGGTTTGAGTCCCAGATCAAGCAGCTTAAAACTCACACCGGATGTACCCAAGATCCTGGGAGGAGAATGAAGGGGAAGGGATTGTGGCATAGCCATCCCCCCCAGGAGGTGATTTCTCACTTTCTGTCTCTCTGTCTCTCTGGCGAGTGCATATGCACTATAGCAAAAATCTCTCTCTAAAATAAATAAATAAATAAATGTTAATTTTGTTATATAACTGAAAACATAATTCACTCTAGTTTGACCATTGTGTAGCCTATTTCATTTATATAATAGTGTATCATAAATATCTTTCTGTATTAATACATACATGTATGCAAGTTGCTTTAATAGTTGTAGTTGTCCCCCATGGAATAATGAGTTATTATCATAGAGTGAATTTAGTTAATTGATCTCGTATTGTTGAATATTTAGGTTATTCTCAAGTTTTTTCTATTATGAACAATGCATAACAGGCAAAGTTATCTAAAAATAAATATTAGGTAAATAAAGCAAATCAATAAATTTTTAGTAAAAAAGTAAAAGAGATGGGCTGACTCCGTGGCCTGGTGGTTAAGGGGACTGGATCCCACAGCTGGACCACACAGTTTGCGTATGGGACCTGGTGGCTTGAGAAACATGTGGGGCACGTGTGCATGTGTGCCCAAAACTTAAAAGGCAGAGGGATTGCTGTGTCACTATTCCACATGGGCGACTGCACTTTCTCTTCTCCCTCTCTCTAATTCTCTTTCTCTTTGTTGGAGAGTGCACCCGCCCTCTAGACAAAAAAAAAAAAAAAAAAAAAAGAGAGAGAGAGAGAGAAAAGTTAGAGTAGAAAACAAAATATTCTAAATATGAATCCTGACCCATCCCCTCATCTCACCCCCTTCATGGAGCACCAAAATTGTTACCATGTGAAAAACAAACAGGATTTTGGGGCCAGCAAGTGGCATGGTGGTTAAAGGCACTGGACTCCCACATGGCTGACCACGGTTCAAGTCTTGGAACTGGTGGCTTGCTTTCTCACTTCCTCTCTCTCTCTCTGTCTCTCTCTGATCAAACTGGAAAATAATAATGACAATAATAAATAAAAGTTAAATAAAATACTTCTTTAAAAAATTTAAAAACAAAACAAAATAAACAAACAAACAAACAAACAGTATTTTAATTTTCTTTTTTCTGGGCTAGCAGGTGACATGGTGGGTAAGGTGCCAGATTCCCATATAGCTGACAGCAGTTTGAGTCCTGGACCTGGTGGCTTGTTTTTTCACTTTCTCTGTCTCTCTCTGGTAAGCACACATGTCCTAGAGCACGTTAAAATAATAATAGTAGGGGCCGGCAGGTGGTGTGGTGGTTAAAGGTGCTGGATTCCCACATGGCTGACCACAGTTCTAGCCCTGGACCTGGTGGCTTGCTTTTTTGCTTTCCCTTTCTCTCTGTTCAAACTAAAAAATAATAATAGCAAATGGAATTAAACAAATAAATAACTCTTTAAAATAATAGTAATACATAAAATTAAATTTGAAAAGTAAAAAATTTTCCCCTTCCTCTCTTTCTTCTTTCATTTCCTTCTCTCCTCCTTTACTCTCTGTCTCTCTCTCTCTTTTTTTTTTTTTTTTTTTTGTAAGAGAGATTTTTGCTATAGGGTGTGTGTGCTCACTGGAGAGATAGAAAGAGACAGAGAGGGAGAAAGTGAAAAATCACTCCCAATCCCTTCTTCTTTCAGATTGTTGGGCATGTACATGCACCCAGCATGAGTTTCAAGCAGCCGACTCTGGAACCTGAACCAAGATCGGCCATATGGGAGTTCAGCACTTTAACCACTATGCCACCTGCTGGCCCCTTGCTCTCTCTTTTTCTTTCTTTCTTTTTTTCTTCTTTTTTTTCTTAATTTTGCCAGAGGGCATGTGTGCTCCCTGGAAAGAAAGAGACAGAGAGAGAAAGTGAGAAAGTATCTCCAATGGGGATAGCCATGCTGCAATCCTTTCTCTTCCATTTCTCCCTCCTTTTGGAATTTTGGGAATGTACCTGGAGTGTT